TAGTCTGACCTGGAAGTGTTGTGAGGGGCTTGTATCCCAGGATACCTCCAGCAGCTACTCAGTGGCGTAGGAGTAAGCCTGGGAGATTGGAGGGCCCAATTCCAGCCCCAACTCTGCCTCTGAATCTCTGGGGGTTGCTAGACAAGTTGGCTCCTCTCCCTAGACTTTGAAGAGGGTTGAACTGGGTCTACATGGTGGTTTTGAGCTCTGAGAGATTTCTATGTTGTGGTTTACTCATTGGATGCTCACTGAGCACCTTTTATATGCAAGGACCAAGTACAAGTCTACAGTCCAGTGGGAGAACTGAGGTCAACACAGTCAGCTTTAATATAAGGATGACTCACAGAAGTGCCCACCCATGTATCCACCCACACATGCATCCATCTAACTACCCATCTACCCACCCACCCACCCACCCATCCATCCATTCACCCACACATCAATCCATCCATCTACCTACCTACCCACCTACCTACCTACCCATCCATCCTCCCACCCACCCTCCCAATCATTCATCCATCCACCCTATCCACCCACATTCCCATCCACCCATCCTTCCACCTCTTACCCACCCATCCACACACTAATCCATCAATCCATTTACTTACCCATTCGTATATCCACCCATCCATCTGTCTACCCACCCATTCTTCCATCCACTCACTCATTTATCTACCCACCCACCCTCCTACCCACTCATCCAAGACCCACTGAGAGCCAAAAGCTCTTGGGCCAGGAGCTGGGGAGACACAGAGGAGGAAGCAGGTGCCCAGCCTTGAGGAGACCCCTGGCTTGCAGGTGTCTGCTGCAGTGCAGTGCAGTGGTCAAGAGCAGTTGGAGACAAGCCCGTTGGTGTTGAGCTCTTGCTCTGGTACTCACTCTGCAATCCTTGGGCAGGTTAGCCTGGCTGAATTGGTAAATGGCATCATGCCACCCCATCAGTCTTGCACTGCCCCCAGGGTCCTGAGACCTATGTGCCCAGCCCCTGCGGATCATCCTGGGAGTGGCCGGGTCACCCACTCCTACAGCTGCATGTAGCCCACAGTGCTCCGTGAGACAACAGTCAGCTTTTTTCCAGTCGTCCCTTTTATTGACTCCAAGGGGCTGCCAGAGTTATAAATAGATGTTCCTGAGCTAAAAATAGCCTTGCTGGAGCCAGAGATCATAGTTCTAGCTTTTGGCCTCATTGAAGATTCTTAAGGACGCAGGGTTCAAGGACCTCACCTCCTTCCACAGCCCCCCAAAAGTGGGGGCTCTTTTCTCCTGCTTCCTCTTCCCCCGAAACACACCACACATACACAACATACACGTTCACATACACACACGCACACAACTGTACACGTGTTCACATACACATCCCCCTGCATGCGTGCAAACACATGCGTGTGTACATACGTACCCACACACGTGCACGCATTCACACATGCGGGTCTGGCCTTGGGAAGGGGGACAGTGTTCTTAGGATAAGGAGGCCAAAACTCCAAGAAGGGCCAGCTGGAGGGCTTTGGGGCTAAGAACGCAGACTCAGGAGCTGGGAGCCCACCTGGCACTGTGGAGATTAGGATTCCTGAGAAATAGCGAGACTGTGCCTGGCCTGGCACACAATGAGCACTCAGTACGTATGCGCCACTGTTACAGCAGTGATCAAGCAAACCTTGGAGGGACCCAGAAAAGTGTCTGAGAACCCATCCCCCAAGAGTGACCCCGCTGCACAGGCACACGGGCTCACGGTGGTGCTGGCTGTGATCGCAAACCAGAGGGGACCTCCGTGCCAGCGGCCAGGCTGGCTTAGGACGCGAGCTGTGAGCAGCGGTCACAGCGCGGGGTCCTGTGAGCCTTTAAGACACCCTGGCAGCAAGGGAGGGCTGCAGGCCAGGAGCAGGGCCCCTCTAGGGGAGGGGAGACATCCCGGTGCTATCCACCTGATGCCCTCTGTACCTTTTGATCTTCGTACTGTCGTGTGTCCTCCTTAAATACACGCTTTCTGTGGAAGAGGAAGCGCTATTGTGTGATCCGTACGTCTGTGTAAGCACACACAGATACAAGGTCTGGAGGGGAGCCCGGGACTCCAACAGTGGTTACTGCCGAGAGTGGGGCTGTTGGGGGGAGCGGCAAAATGGAGCGTTTATTTTATGTGGGTCTAAGTTTTTTAAACATTTGCTAGTATATAACGACCAAAAAGGGTGTTTGAGGCCCTTCTCCCCAGGGGTGTGGCCGAGGGCCTGTGGCACACTCTGTCCTGTCCCCAGGCCAGCAGAGGCCCACCAGGGGCAATTCCC